GGAGTGCACCGTAAGGTGATTATTGTCACTTGACTTGAAAGGTTCGGTGCTATTATATGTATTTATTTATTTAATATTATATAAAATTATAAATGTATAATTATATATGACAATATAACTATAATATTATAAAAATCTTAAAGTTACATAAAAAATATTTTTTTTTGGACAGGGAAAATTTGTAAGGGAGGGGAGTACGCCCGGGATTTGCATAAAAAATAATTTTAAAATACATAAAAATTGACTTAAAGATACTTTAATGATATGAAAAAAAAGTTATATACACTATAAAGTTTGTGAATGGATTGTTTGTACTTTCGGGGATGTATCCCAATTGGAATTTATAATGATTTCGTATTTGGAAAAAAAAAAAAAAAAGACAGCAATGTAATACAAGATTCCAAAGTACATCATTGAATAGCTACAAAGAGTAGGTGGTAATAAGTTGAACAAGATAACTATTTTTATTGCCGGCAATGAAAATTGTAGAGTATGCTGCCTTTACGCAATGTCCTTGCCTTGTGCAGGCTGGCCTAAGTCTTAATGTTGACTTCATTTTTTAAGCTATATATATCAAACTTTATATATTATAAATAGACGAACCATATACTTCCCCTCCTTAGTCTATAATTCTACATCCTTCCATCTTTGGAATTAAGAAAACATGAATATCGATCATCGTTTGCAACAGAGGTCTAGATGGTCTGCTTCCCTTTCCAGCTGCGGAGAGGATCCTGGAACCTGTAAGATCTTTATCCGTCTTTATCATTCTTCTGTGGAACGATGATAATTTTACTTGAAATTAACAAGATCAGTTCGATCCATATTGGTAATATTTGTAGGCTGCATAACTTGCTTTCTCCCATGCATCACCTTTGGCCAAATTTCAGAAGTTCTGGACGAAGGGCAAACCTGTAAGTCTATATATAATCACTTTATTCGTGGATGAGTTATTTATTATACCTTAATTCATTTAGATTGTTTGTTAACACATATTATAGCTCAATCACTAATTCTTCATCATCATATTGGATTGTGTTGTGGTGTGACATGTGGAGAACAGCCTGCATCACGAACGGGGTCATATATGGGGTGCTGATGATGTTCACATGCCACTGGCTCATCTCCTGTGTTTACAGAGAGAAACTGCGGACTAAATTTGGGCTGCCGCCAGAGCCCTGCAACGACTGCTGTGTCCACTGCTGCTGTGAGCCATGTGCTCTGTGTCAAGAGCATGCCGAGCTCAAAGCAAGAGACATTGATCCAACCAGAGGCTGGGTTGCGCCACGACTGCCTGTTGCTCCGCCAATGCCCCCCACCATGAACAGGATGAATTGATGACCCGCTTTACAATAAGTTCCAGTTGATCTTTCCCTGACTAATTTCAGGTTTTAATGTATACAGAAATTGATGATGTATGGTAAGAAATTTGTAAAAGATTTGATTATATACTATTATATAATAAGAGTGCCATCTGTTTTGGATATGGGTTTAGGTGCATAAACACTTCTCATTCTACTGGTTTCTTCAATTGTTTTTCCTTTTGATGAGCTAATTCCACTCTAGCAAGTGTACTAGTCTGTTCAAGTAATATAATGATGAAAATAGAGTATCGTCCCACAGAGACCGTAGACTAATTAAGTACCAAAATTAATAAATTCTAATTTTATTTGAACAATTGAAATTAAATGATTTGAATAAAGTAAATAACTAAACTAATTAAAGAAAAACTAAATTAACTTTGATTAACACCAAGGATTAAAAGTCTAAGGCATCCGACTTCACCATCATCAACTAATATAGAATTTTAGATCAATATACTTCCAAGGTATTTATTATTCATGTGACAGCGGGATTTCTAAATTTATTCGATATACTTTCTCAAGTTATACCAAATCTATCTTCACCTATTAACCCACTATATCTCTATGTGAATTTAAATAGATAAAGACGCATTATGTTCTATGAAATTCCCTAGTTTACGTGGAAAATTTAAGTCCACTTATCACTAATGCTGCACAAATCACGTTGGTCCATCTCTGGCTTTCATTCAATTCATGGTATATATTACTAAAAGCTATTGCATAAAATCTCCTCTCGGTCTCAATTATGCTCTTAAAATCAGTTTTAATGGTGGCCAATCATAAAAAAGCATTAAGAACAATAATATATACTCAACATGAAATAATAACCCTTGAAAATATAAAAATCATAAAATTCTATATTAAATTGATCAGGCTACATCGTAGCCTTAGATGGCAAAATTAGTTCATACTAAACCTGATAAAATCTGAGATTAAATTGATGAACCACAATTCCATATCCAAACAAAGGAAAAATAAGTCTAACTCCGATCGGTGGCCTGAAGTGTTGCGCTTGTCCCTTTGTTTTGGATTGAAGTGTCCAGCGGCTGCCCTTGCGTCTGCCGTCACCCACACAGAATCTGCGCAAGCTTCTGCCTCAAACTCGCCTCAAAGCTCTCTGCCGTCTGCTTCCCTTTTTTCTCCCGTCACTCCACACGGAAGTCTCCAGCGGCTGCCCCTTTTTATATTCAATAATGTGCTCTGCCTTTTAAAACTCCGTGTGCCCTTTCTCTTTTTAAAGACCATCTTTATCTCCTTGTGGAGATAAAGCCCACAATGTCTCCACGTGTATGCAGAGGAGAAATTAAATTCTGATCTTTAAATGGAGAAATCATGAAATCAGACCTCATGTTTTTAACTTTTGTCATTTCAGCCCATTTACTCTCAATTTATTTAGTTTTACCCTCTACCTACAAAGAATGATAAAAGTAATGTAAAACCAAATAAAATTGTTCCAATAAAATATAAAAGACTACAATTCATGACTAAAAAGCCATGTATAATTGTATGAAATTTAGGCTCATCACCTTTCTTATTTAAAAAAATTATACATTTCTCGTTATATGATTCATCTTTAGATCGGTAAAAAAAAAACTAAAGAGGGACTTTCTTGAAAAAGGAGAAAAGAATTTATATATATAACTATGACAAAAAAATGAAAATCCATGGGAAAAATGATGTAGGAACACAACCCAAACAGACCAAGTGAAATGAATAGGATTGGGAACCACGGATGGCTCCATGTGAAATAAATAGGATTGGGAACCACAAATGCCTTTGTTTGGCGGGTATTATATTATAACAATAATTTAGGTTGTTGTGTCTTTTAATAGTATAAAAATAAAAAAAAAACAGTTATTAAAATTAATTAAAAATAATAAATTGACATTTTAAACTAAGGTGCTCTATAAAAATTTTCTTTGTATAGCATTCCCAAACAGAGGGGACCAAATTGAAAAAATCTAAATCATTGGGGATCAGTTGTGAAATTAACCATTTTAAAAACTAAAAAAAAAGGGCACGATGGGGAGACTTTGACCAGAAACGGAAGCGTGCAAAAGTAAAATGCGACAAAGCCACCTAACCACGAAGTCAATTCATTAAAACTGTAAGAATTGATCTGCTTCCCTGAGTCCATTTCTGCACCTTCCCTTACTGATTTCCCTCTAAACCCTCGAAACCCGTACTAAAAAACCCTGCTTTATCACTCGGTGAGGGAAACAGAATCGAGGATTGATCATCACCATGTCTGATACTGCCAAAGAAGCATGGAGAAAGTATCTGATACAACTTCAAGCCCACCCTCTTAGAACAAAGGTATTCTGATTCTGTTATGGGGTTTTCTTCTTCCTTTATGAGATGGGTTTTTTTTATTTTTTGGTCTAAAATCTTGCTTCAATTTTCCTTCTTTCTTTCATTCATTGGTTTCTTAGACAATTTTGCTTGTTATGGATTGACCCTTATGGTTTTTGCTGTTTTTTAATTTTATTGTGGTTTTATAGGCAATTACATCTGGGGTGCTCGCTGGTTTTAGTGATTTAGTGGCTCAAAAGATTTCTGGGATCAAGAAGCTTCAGCTGAGAAGATTGCTTCTTATTATGGTGCGTTACTCTTTTCTTTTTCTGAAATTTATTTGTGTTTGGATCAGACCCCCAAAGGCAAGTCAATGCGGCACTAGCAGCCCCTAGTGGGCTGGCTATGTGCATCAAACACCTTGGCCATGCTAAAGTTCAAGTTCCTATGTGACATTTGTAATATTTTCCCCTTCCCCCAAAATTCCCCCTTGTTCAAAACAAAAAAATAGGCAAATCAATACTAAAATGAATATTAAATTGAATATAAGCTATATGGATTTGCCTGCATTTTCTAAGTCGTATGAAATTGATCAACCAAGACTAAGTTGTGTCTCTTTCTTTCTGATCTTTTTATCTGCAACCAAAGGGAAAATTTTCTATCTTTATTTAAAGTAGAAACCTTTAATTGCCTTGTAGCTTTATGGTTTTGCTTATGGAGGACCATTTGGGCACTTTCTTCACAAACTCATGGATATCATTTTCAAGGGGAAAAAGGATACCAAAACTATTGCAAAGAAGGTTAGTTGGTTTTTTGTTATCTAATTTACAAGCTTTTCTTGTGTCCATAACGGATTTAAGCCTTTTGGCAGATAATTTTGTTTTAATCTTCGTGAGAATAGCCTCTAGACCACTTTTAACCGGGGTTGATGTTGAGATTTGTTAGGTGTTGCTTGAACAATTGACTTCTTCACCTTGGAATAACTTCCTCTTTATGACATACTATGGCTTGGTGATTGAAGGTAAGTACATTCTCATTATGTAATCTTAGAATGTTTTGTCAATTTTTATGTTCTAGTCAATTTTATTGCTTTAGTTGTTGTCTTGTCTTTTAACGTGTATAAAAATATCAGAGAGTCTGGCGTTCGACATCCATCGAACATGTTTATTCTGGCTTCATATTTCCCTTGATGCTAATTTCATCTATCTTCCTAGAAGTATCTGCTGCCATGTGATATGTGAATGATCCTGAAAAGATTCAAAGTTTCAAATTTGAGTTCAATCATCTAAGGAATCCTATTTCCTTCTCTGCATTTTCAATGCAAACTTGACTAGTATAACACACCATTCTATGTATAATGTTGGTATCTTTATCATCAATTATTGGTTTGATGTTCACCTAAAAAATTCCATATTCTTCTGAGCATGCATAAGCATTTGCTCACTTAAGACTCCTTAGACATTCTTTGGATGGTAAAGGATCTTTTGAAAGGTCTCCAAATAGGTTTTAGCTTCAACTCTCTTCCGAGATTCAGATACAGTGGTTTAGAAACTGGTTGGTGTTGTGGTCTATGGTCCTAACACTTAACTCCAATTGAAGTTTGATTCAAGGAACCAGTAATGATTTTGGTGCAGGGCACCTTATAGTTCAGCTTTACATCTTTATTATTGTAACTAACATTATCATCAATAGCTTGAGAGCTTAATTCTGTTCATAATGAAAAACACGATGTATGGTATTCTAGGAATTTTAAGAATTTACTAAGGACTCAAATCTAGGTCAGAGGACAAATGATCTGATGCAATATCTCTCTCTTTTCAATCAAAATTAGGAAGGTTTGCAGATTGTATTAAGAATTTAAGCTTGTTGGTCAGTAATTTTTGTTTAGCTGTCTTTTATGGTATCCCTCATTGGGAAAAAAAACACCCTTTTCCAATGGATCATCAAGGCAGTGCAGCTATTCTATAATCTTTTCATGTCAGCTACTCCTTGCTTCCTCTTGTTGTCATTCAGACGTTGGGGAAAGGGGGTGCAACTTGCAAGTTCCCATTACATTCTTTGATTATTAACAATAAACTTTGGCATTTCAGGAAGACCATGGATTTTAGTCAAGAATAAAGTTCGAAAGGATTACCCTATGGTTCAGTTAACTGCATGGAAGGTGTGGGAAGATTTTGTTATCATATTATGTGTCATGATTCTATGTCTGATTTATAACACTATAGTTACAACATTTATGACTTGCAGTTTTGGCCAATAGTTGGTTGGATAAACTATCAGTATATGCCATTGCAGTTCCGGGTTTTGTTCCATAGCTTTGTTGCTTCATGCTGGTGAGCTCTTAAATCCTGCAGCTCTGCTTTTACATATTAATTTACTATGAATCCTAGAGGGAAAAAGACGCGTCTAAAACTTGTAATGTTTGTGAAGAACCACATGGAGGCCTACCATAACAACTATATTTTTCCATTTAATCATATGATGAATTTGTTGCACTGCAATCATGTAATATGTGGAATGGTTTAACATCATCTAACCTTGGAAGGAAAAGGGAATGACGTTTGAATGAATTTTTTTAATTCTCCTATCATATTGCCACTAAGATAAAGGAAAGCTTACCTTTTTCTTTGGCAGTTTCGATTATTTATGCATCATACGCTTGCTGTAATTATTTATCTCTGGCTTATTTCGATACTGAGCATTTTTTCTGGTTAACTTCAGGGCTATTTTCCTCAACCTCAAAGCAAGATCTGCTGCGATTAAAAGTGCGTAGGCATATAGAGGGAAATGGTGGAGACTTCCACTTCTTATTACTTCCAACAACTTATGATTCTTGGGAAATACTTTACACTTATTTCAAGTTTAAGCATACAAACTATTGAGAAGTAGACATTTTGGCCCACTAAGTTTATTTTATTATTTCAATGCTTGTTTAGTTCATACATTTTAATTATTTTTAACTTTGTTTTAATTAAAAGATTACTTTTAGTGATGATGAGAAAAGATGAGAAAAGATGAGAAAAATAAAAATAAAATGAAAGATGAGAAAAAAAAAAAGATTAATTGAATGAAAAATTGCTCAATATTATCTTTTTACAAAATATTTTTTCATCAATACCGTTTTGCTATCCTTTTCTTTGTCTTTTATGGTATTCTTCTACTCAATATATGTATATGTTATCTTTCAATTAATGACATATAATATTATATCATCAATTAGTATTAATTTATTATTAGACATTAACAATTTTACTTTAAAATATTTTTCTTTTATCGACTTTTCAATCAGTTCACGAAGGTGTGGGGTTGGTTTTTTTTTTTCTTTTTTTCTTTTTTTAAGTCAAAATTTCGTTTTTATTTTTTTGTGCATATTAGTGTGTAGACTATACGATATTGGTGCCATCTCCCTGTCGATCGAGCGAGGGTTCGAAGCTTAAATACTTGAACTTAGTGGCCTTGAGCTCGAAGACTTGGGCTGATCCCTATACTGAATATGTATCTTAAACTTACCGGTGCCATAGCCACTAGCCACTAGCCACTAGGGGTGGTCCGGATAAATGGACATGCAAATTTCAAACATGAATCCAAAAGGTCAATAATGCAAAGTAATTTTCACAATAAATCATATTGAGGAGTACTTAACTACGAAAAGTTATAGATTTGGGTTTTGATATAATCTTTGGCATTCCATTCTACTTGCATCAGCTTTTAAGCAAAAATTTAATACAGTTTACATCATTCAAATCATTTAAGTCCTTATTAGATGTGCTTAATATATAGCGCCTAAAGTGTGTGAGCAATTTTTTTTTAACCTAATGAAATGATGCTATTTAATTTATTATAAAAATTGTATAAAAATATTAAATATCAAGTAATTCCCTTAAATTTTGCTTTTCATACATGATAATGAATAGAAAAATGTTTAATTTTTCTTTTGATTTTGTAATTTTTAAAATTATTTTACATTTTTTTTTTATTTTTTTAGAATTACATAAAAAACTTCTTTAAAAA